AAAAACAAACAAACAAACTATACCAAGATTAAGTTAACACGCGGAGACATAATGGTTTCAGACACTAAAAAAAAAAGAAGTTTGAATTCACTCTAAACGACCCTCTTTATACTTCCACACGTAGTGTTATAAGACCTTTAAATGTTACCCTGTTGATAGCACACATTAGACGTGCGTCGTCGATGTGTTGTCCCCAGGTGTCAGCTTCTCTCCTTAAAACTTCATTTTCTCTAATGCGATACTTCTGTCGCAATACCCTACAGTTTAGGCGGGAAATGAGATGGCTAAGTTCTCTTCAGAATGTAGAGACTTCGCTTCTCTTAAACACATCACTAACAATCTCGAGAAGAATGAATCTTTTACAAAAGATGATAGCGTGAGTGGCTCAGGGAATATAGAAAGTTAAATCCTCTCTTTATCCGTGCCTAGTTAAAACAGTGCTTGAGCAATTTTTTTGTTTATTAAAAATACTGTTAACATGTTAACAGAACGAAATGTATAGAATCGTTAAAATAATTCAACTTGCATGGAGTTAGAATTTTCCATTTGAAATTGACTTCCAACAGCATTTTGTCTTCTTCCCAAAACCTTTAATCAAAACAAACGGCTGTGCTGTTATCAGGGGGTTAAACTGGGAGTTTGAAAGAGGTGAAACCCCCTTTTGCGATCCACTTTGACATTCCAATCGGACCCGGAACGCTGATGGCTGAAATCCTAAAGAGGCGGAACGCCTTTCCCTACCGCTCCACTCCAGTTCATCTTGTGGTTGCTATTAATAAGCATTTATTTAAATTATATACAAAATGTTTGAGCCTCGTTCAGAGCGGAGGAAGGATACACTTATAGACAATGAATTTCAAAAAATTACAATGTAAATTGCTAATCATAACGGTGATTTAGGGTTATTTCGATAGATCTCGATGGGTGGTGCTCGGCGCAACTTGTAAAACGATCTTGTTTTGTTTGTTTGTTTTCAGTTAAGCACAAAGCTACACAATGGTCTATCTGTGCTCTGCCCACTACGGGTATCGAAACCAGGATAACGGTGATTTAGGGTTATTTCGATAGATCTCGATGGGTGGTGCTCGGCGCAACTTGTAAAACGATCTTGTTTTGTTTGTTTGTTTTCAGTTAAGCACAAAGCTACACAATGGGCTATCTGTGCTCTGCCCACTACGGGTATCGAAACCAGGATTCTAGCGTTGTAAGTCCGCAGACATACCGCTGTGCCACTGGCTTGTAAAACGAAGAAAATAATTAAAATATGACATGATGAAATCTATACCGATTATACTATAGTGGTACCATACTGGGTATTACCGATTATACTATAGTGGTACCATACTGGGTATTACCGATTATACTATAGTGGTACCATACTGGGTATTACCGATTATACTATAGTGGTACCATACTGGGTATTACCGATCATACTATAGTGGTACCATACTGGGTATTACCGATTATACTATAGTGGTACCATACTGGGTATTACCGATTATACTATAGTGATACCATACTGGGTATTACCGATTATACTATAGTGATACCATACTAGGTATTACCGATTATACTATAGTGGTACCCATACTGGGTATTATAGCATCCTTCTTATATTTTTCTCTTCATTGCAGAAATGGCATTTTTAATTTGAGAATCGCTAGGGAAGTCATCTTGTAATGCATTGTGCATCAACTTCAACACTACATCTTTAGCCTTTACTGTGCCGTTAGTTTCACACAATATTGAAACTAAAGATTTCTTATATATGATTTCAATTCCCCCTTTTGGAAGATAACGATACTATTGTGTTCGTTTTTTTATTTTTTATGTTTTGGTGTCAATGCCGTAATTGTCGAATATTCGATTCAGCTGATGTGTCAAATCGATTGGGATATCTTCGAATAAGTTCTTCCCTCATCAGACCTGGACCCATGGATTAGGTTAATCGTCACATTCACAACCACATCTAGAACGTTTCAAGCATGTTAACCATCACATTCACAACCACATCAAGAACATTTCAAGCATGTTAACCACCACATTCACAACCACATCTAGAACGTTTCAAGCATGTTAACCATCACATTCACAACCACATCTAGAACATTTCAAGCATGTTAACCATCACAACAACATCTAGAACATTTCAAGCATGTTTCATTGCTACCTCGTTTTACTTTACATTTACAGGTTAAATTGTCCATGTTGGCTTTCATGGTCTCGGGTCTGGTTCAGCGAGCTGAACCTCGAAAATAGTGCCAAAACGTCATATTTTTTGTCTAATCAAAACACCCTAAACCTTTCCGGAATGACTCACTTTTTTCATTCACATCAAGATGCCGGGCTGGCTCGTGTAGCAGGTGTTAAAATGTTTTTAAAAGAATATTTTTATCGCATAAGGAGTAATATCATCGTTTTAACTAAATACTTTATTTATATTTGTTATGCACTTAAAGTGTCGACTGTGCGGACCTTTTTTTCATTAACGAACAACTACGTATGTATGTTTTTTTCTTTGTGTCGTTGCCATATTTTTTTATTATTTTCTTTTTACTGAAAGTTCGAGAGCTTTTAGATGCAATCCTAACTATTGGATACGAAGACCCTATGCGACATTCACTTGCTATACTTTCAAGAGGCGGAAAACGAAGTCCGCTACAGGAGATAATTTGGCGTGGTTCGTTAGAGGGCGTTAGTATAACACTGTGTGTATGTGTGTGTTCAAGTCGAAAGATACGCCATGGTCGATGAGCTGTTTAACTTTCAAGCTTACCGCTGAACCACTGGGGAACGTAACAAATAATATGGCCTATTTTTTTTACTAGAAATGTTATAACTCTAGCCAGAAATAATCAAGAGAGCCAATGAAATTTTGAAAACGACACCCATTGGTTGCTTTAAATGTTTGACTGAAGGAATATTAATATATATCACGAAAATAATATTAAAAAGTATTTAAATTGTTTTTTGGAATTTTTACGACAAACCATTATTTTTTTAACCAATAACCTCATAGTCCTTGACAAATGTTAATACTAGAACTTACTTAATTCATGAAGTAATTCCACATTTTAAGGTACAACTAATAAGAAAACTATAACTATGAAAACTTTCGTTAATAAGAAAACTATAACTATGAAAACATTCGTTAATAAGAAAACTATAACTATGAAAACATTCGTTAATAAGAAAACTATTACTATGAAAACTTTCGTTAATAAGAAAACTATAACTATGAAAACTTTCGTATCAAATTAACTAAATATATTAACGTGAAATAGGAGTAGATTAATACCTCTATTCAACACCAGGGTGAATTTTTGAATAACACTGAAATCCATTTCACTTATGTCTAGAGATAATTTGTTTAAATCAAACCTTGCCACGGTCGTGGGATAACACATCATTACCAGGAATTGTTAGTTATTTAATGAATTAAACTCAATATACTTGGTTTGTTTAGAAACAACACCTGATATTTTTGTCATTTCTATCTCATTTAATAATCTGACCCATCTTGAGTTAGTGTTACTTGGAAGTGGGTTAAGTGCATATGAGACATTAAAATGATAATTCTTTGGAAATCAGGGGGTATGACCCCCAGATATTTATCACTTATAGACTTCAACTGGAGCAATTCCTAAAAATATACAGGGTAAAATGCAAACATATTATGTATGGTGGTCTTAAGATTATTAACAAGTATTAACCTGCCCCATCAGGCATAGGCTTAGGAGGGCTAATGCCCCCCCTAACCCGTCTGCTGGTTTGTCTGCCTAGATTATACTACAGTTGCAGCCTCAGAAAGTGTTTCAACTATTGAACAGAGACTTCTAGAGTTGATTACTTCAGCTCCATGGAATGCTAAAAACTGATTTTTTGTTTCCTTATATTTGGCGTACCAGCTATCTAATATTTATTCACAATTATCTTGTTTAGTGGGAGTATACATTCTAGTTGGATATGCAGTGCACAGGCCATAATAGCACATAAAACTGAAAATGTGTATTTTGGATCATGATATTATCTATTTATTTTTCTGTTTGTACATGTATACATAGCTATTTTGATAAGGATCTATTATGGATTATGGCCAGAAATATTTCATGGCATTGCATATCCCTAGTTAGAATGGTAAATTAACTTAGCTATGTTAATTACTTGGTTAATGTTTAGTTCAAGTCAAGGTAAGTAGCCTGCTTTGATCAGAAAGTAATAATTATTATCTACAAAGATGTTCTGCACCTATGTAAAGAAATTATATCAAACTGATCTATTATAAAACAACTAAAGTTAATAAAACTGTGCCTCGAAGGAAGCAGAATAACAATCCCAATGGCAGCAGCTTGATTAATTCTAATTTTTTAATGTTGTTTATCCTATGATAATATGCTGCAGCTACCACTTTTGTATTCCTTTTTTTTTTTCTGTCGATATGTTTGTTGGATTTTAAATGTATTTTTAGCAATGAAAACAGCTTTTTTACAGCTCTAGAAATTGCTCTAATGGTGGAGGAAATTTTACATTTGGCTCCTAAAGGCTATCTGACTGACTGTCTTTAATAATTCATGAAGAGAAAAGGTCATATTTTATATGTTCTGTTTCAGGCTGACTCTTTGACTCTAGCTCCATCAAGTGTTGCAAATTGTGTATCAAAAGGCAAGTCTGAAGTAAGTTTTTTTGTGTATTGTCACTGTTGTTTCTACGTAGATAACTTATTTAGTGCTTCACTTAATTGGGTAATTTCTCAAAGATGTAGTAACTAGAAATCATTCCTAAGTGATTTAATATATACATGAGATATATCTATATAGTGTTTGTATAATTTGAGTGAAGTAATTTTACTTGTCTCTTTGCCCTGTGTAATGTACTTCCATACAAGTTTTAACACTGTTGTAATATACTTCCATGCAAGTTTTAACACTGTTGTAATATACTTCCATGCAAGTTTTAACACTGTTGTAATATACTTCCATGCAAGTTTTAACACTGTTGTAATATACTTCCATGCAAGTTTTATCACTGTTGTAATATACTTCCATGCAAGTTTATCACTGTTGTAATATAATTCCATGCAAGTTTATCACTGTTGTAATATACTTCCATGCAAGTTTTAACACTGTTGTAATATACTTCCATGCAAGTTTTAACACTGTTGTAATATACTTCCATGCAAGTTTTAACACTGTTGTAATATACTTCCATGCAAGTTTTAACACTGTTGTAATATAATTCCATGCAAGTTTATCACTGTTGTAATATAATTCCATGCAAGTTTATCACTGTTGTAATATAATTCCATGCAAGTTTATCACTGTTGTAATATAATTCCATGCAAG